CCCAAGTTAAGTGGTTGGTGGATGATTGATGGGCAATGGGGGGAGCACACAGTAAAAAGCGACGCAACTTACCTGGGTCAGGGTGCCTGATGAGTGGAGGGTAGAGGCATAGCCACTACCGATCTACTTACTAATCCTCAGGGACGCTCAAACCTCCCCCACTAGGTAACGAACTGAACACCACCTCATAGAGACTACAGAGTGGTTGTGGTTCCCACCGGATAAAACCGCCACCGATGACCGACCCAGTTTTATTTATGGTGGTGCCGTGATGGTGAACGGTTCAACACTTCAACCGGGGGGCGGGATGAGGAGATTTATGGCAGCAATGGAATGGATCACTACCGGTTTATCGTTTGTCTTGTATCACTGGCAAGTTGCAGCTTGCAGGGATGGTGGCATGTGGAAGTTGCAGCAAGAAGTGAAGAACATTCAATCCCTCAAAAACCCTCGTTTCGCATTCTCAATCACTTCTCTATTAATCTCTTTCATTTCAAGACCCCATATCAAGTTCTTGCATCACTAATACTAAGGCTTGCTTGTCAACTATTTTTATTTCAATATTATATATCGGATTAGACTATTCTTTTGGATCGGATAGGAATGATCCAAATTCAACCCCATTTTTAATCAAAACCTATTATCTGATCCCAAGGGGATATCCGAATCTAACAAGATAGGATTGGATCATCATCCAAAGTTCCAAACCATTTGCACCCCTATTGTTGTAACATCTGCAGTCCCATATCCACATTAATTGTTTATGGTGAAAGTAGTGCAGATGCAGCAGATCGATGCATAGGGTCTAAAATGAAGAGACATCTAAGATGCCGTCTGTCACTATCATCAATTAATCTGCTCCAAAACCCATGGCTGCCATTGTATTAGAAGTTTGAACCTATATTATCAAGAGATGCTAAACATACTGCTTAGTTGCCATTAATTTCCTTTAGTTTTAAACCTCAATAAACTGAATGTACTCTTGTCCATGAGCTTTGCTTGGAGAAGCCTCAAAAGGCATTTTCAAGTGTTGGTGGAATTTTAGAGTTTAAATTTTAGGGTTTTAGGGATTAAGATTTAAGGTTAAGGCTTAGGGTTTAGGCATTAGGAATTTAGAATTTAAATAAGGAATAAAGAGGTTGGAGGTGGTAGAATGCATATCCTCCAATGTGTTAAGAGGCAAATATTTTACCCTTATGGGGGAGGGTTTGCAGTTAGCTTGGCAAGTTGGAGCTTCCCATGTTTGTATTGTCTATTGAGGGAGATGTACAACTGATTGTTAATATCTTTTTTAGAGGACACGAAGCCTCTTCGGGGAATAAAAACCAATGTCAATTGGAAGTATTTACTAAGGAGGTGTTTGATACATTGGCACTGCATTGTTATTATGTTTTGAGCTGGTCAATATAAATTTGTATAAGTGAGATTTTTCTACTTGAAATAATTTGAAAATGTTTTGAGTTGAATTGATATTTTTATCTAATATGTCAAAATTTCATATTTCTCACACATACATTTTTTTTAGTTGAAATGACAATCATATGTGATGTGTCAATACATATTTCTCACAAATTTGTATTTATAAACCCAAAACACAACCATAACACAATGTCATTATACCAAACACCCCCTAATTAAGAAAGTTCTCCCACCACTCAATTCACCATCTTTTACTCAAGAGGGTAACAATGCAGCACATTGCATGGCCATAAGAGCTCTTTATAGTTTTATCTTGTATATTTTTGCATCCTCTCTCCACTTTTTTGAGGATGTTATATCTCATGAGATGTATTTTAAGTAGGATCAATAAATTTATCATTTTGGCTTAAAAACATGAAAAAAAAGGAATGTATTCAAATGAACGCCCTAACCCTCAAAGAGGTTTATTTTATTATGATAAATATGTAGGAATGACAACGGGGCAAGGTGGGGCTGAGTTTTGTATGCCCCATCCCTGACCCTGAAGTCAAATTCCCCACCCCATCCTTGTCCCATACCCCAAAAGTGCTAGAAATCCCAATCCCATCTTCATCTCCCCATGGGGAATAGGAATCCTCAAATTTGCCTTGCATCACCCCACTCATTCCTACTTGCAAATCTTTTTTTTTCTTTTTTTTTTTTTTGAAACCTACCATCCCTGCCATGTCTTTGGTCACTAGAGTTTTGGATTTTCCTGAAACTTGCCCTGAACCTGATCAGTGGTTAAAAACCAACCCATCCTAATCGGGGCAAGGCAAGGCAGAGTCCCAACAAATACAGGTCAAATTGCCATCTCTAACTTTGAACATAATATGTATATAATTATATAAGGCTATGTTTGGTTTGAAGGAAAGGGTAGGGAAAGGAAGATGAAGACGTGGAAACTTATACATGGTTTTTAAAGATTTTCTGCCTTTGCCTACTTTTTCCTTCAAACCAAATACAACTAAAATGTTCTTTATTGCCAGGACAGACTAAAGAAAGAGAAAAGTACGAGATTGTGTTCATATGATACTATAGTAGAACCAATAAATAAGAAAGAGAAGAATTATATGTGCCGGACCGGAGAATGAATTAGCTAAACTTGATAGTTGTGTTTTGGAGTGTAGGGCCAATCATAAGGCCCCATGTCACCCATAAATTGTGTGGGTGGGTCATATATTCACTTTAGGATTGGTCCCATCCCATGGTCTCACAGCTTCAAAAACACAGCTATCAATTTCAGCTGGATCATCTAACTCGTTCTCTGCTGGACCCACTCGCAAGTTCATCCGC